TAGACCAGGCTAGCCTTGAACTTACAGAGATCTGCCTGCCTCTGCCTCCCAAGTGCTGGGATTAAAGGCATGCGCCACCACGCCTGGCTTCATATATTCTTTTTAATCCTCATAAAATATCCTATTGGGAAAAATACAATAATTTTTTACATTTATTTATTGTTATTTTATGTGTAGAGTGTATTGCCTGCATGTAGGTAGGTGTACATGTGTCATGCAGTACCCAATGAGGTCAGAAGAGGGTGTCAGATCCCCTGAAACGAGTTGTGGACAGTTGTCAGCCTTGGCTTCATATATTCTTTTTAATCCTCATAAAATATCCTATTGGGAAAAATACAATAATTTTTTACATTTATTTATTGTTATTTTATGTGTAGAGTGTATTGCCTGCATGTAGGTAGGTGTACATGTGTCATGCAGTACCCAATGAGGTCAGAAGAGGGTGTCAGATCCCCTGAAACGAGTTGTGGACAGTTGTCAGCCTCCATGTGGATGCTGGAAATCGAATCCAGGTTCTCTGCAAGAGCAACCAGTACTCTTAACTGCTGAGCCATCTCTCCAGCCCTATGTATAAGTGTTTTAAAAATATCTATTTTCTTTATTTTTATGTATGAGTGTATGTATGTATGTCCCCTGGAACTGGAGTTACCGACAGCTGCCATGTATGTAGGTACTGGGAACCAAATCTGGGTCCTCTGCAACAACTGTCAGTAATTCCAGTTCTAGGGGATCCATATGCCCTCTTCCACTGGCATTACACACATGTGATGTACTTGCATACATGCCGGCAAAACACTTAAACACATAAAATAAAAATAATAAAATAAGCCAGGTGCGGTGGCACACACCTTTAATCCCAGCACTTGGGAGGCAGAGGCGGGTGGATCTCTGTGAGTTCAAGGCCAGCCTGGTCTACATAGTGAGTTCCAGGCCAGCTGGGGCTACAGGGAGACCCTGACTCAAAAAGACCAAAAAAATAAAAAAATAAAATAAAATAATATGTACTTCTCAAAGATTAAGCATTATAAAACTGCTCTCTAAAAAGGCACCAACAACTCTTAATGTGTATGAATATTTTGTGTGCATCTATGTAAGTAAGTGTGCCATGTGCCTGCAATGCCTGCAGAGGCCAAGAGAGCAGATCCTCTGAAACTGGAGTTATGGACAGTTGTTAGCTGCCATGTAGGTCCTGGGAACTGAACCTGAGTCCTCTACAAGAGCAGCCGGTGTTCTTAACCACTGAGCATCTCTCCAACCCATAGCCTCAACAATTTTTAATCTCAAAATAATGAATATAATCTGTTTCCCATATCAGCCATACTAGGCAGTACCAGACTAATCAGCCAGACCAGCTTTGCCACTGCAATTGGCAAATGTCTAAAGACACACAAGTAAGATTTAATTCTTTTTTTTTTTTTTTGTTCTTTTTGAGACAAGGTCCTTTTTTTTTTTTTTCAACAGGTTCTCACTGTGTAGCCCTGGCTGGACTGGAACTCACTTGCCTCTGCCTGCCTCAGCCTCCTGAATTAAAGGCATGAACTACCATGCCTGGCCCCAAGTCACTCTTTTTACATTGGACTTAAAAGAGATCTTTGTGGAAGCCTGGCATGGTGTTGCACACCTTTAGCCCCAGCACTCTGGAGGCAGAGGCAGGTGGATCTCTGTGAGTTCAAGGCCAGCCTGGTCTACATAGTGAGTTCCAGGACAGCTGGGGCTACAGGGAGACCTTGTCTCAAAAAAAAGATGAAAAAAAGAGAGAGAGAGAGAGAGATGTTTGTGGAACAGGTTCCTTTGGCTCCCTCACTGTCTTGAAGCTCACTATGTAGACCAAACTTGCAGTAATCCTCCTGCCTCTGCCTCCTGAGGGCTGAGATTACAGGTGTGTGCCGCTGTATCCTACTTTTTGGCATATGTTTTACAAACATTTTTCCCAGTTTATCTTACATTATGTAGAACAGGCTGGTCTCAAACTAGTGATCCTCAGCCTCACCTCCTGAGTTCTGGGATTACATGCACCTTGAAGAGTAGTTATCACTCTTTTTTTATTTTTTAGATTAAGGTATGTGAAGATGCCTGGGGAGGCCAAAAGAGGGCATCAGATACCTGGGAGCTGGAGTTGCAGGCAGTTGTGAACAGCTGATGTGGCTACTGGGAACTGAACTCGGGTCCTCTGGAAGAGCAGCAAGTGCTCTTAATAACTGAGGCATCTCTCCAAATCTCTCTGCCCCTCATTTTTTTAAGACAAGGTCTTGTTATAAGCCTGTAGGTTCATGCAACCACATTAGATTTATCACTTGGCTCTTGCATATACATACATTCTTTCCTGTACACTGCACGTATGCAAAAACATATATAGCTGAGTTTGGGAGAATAAGCCTGTGATCCCAGCACTTAGGAGACTGAGGCAAGAAGCTTGCAAGTTTAAGGTCAGCCTGCCCCAAAATAAAGTTTATAAAAAGAAATATATGTATGTATCTGGGGAGGGTGGTATCTTTGAAGAATTCAAATCTTGGAGCTAGGGAGATGGCTCAGTGGATAAGAACACTTGCTTTGAATGAGGATCTGAGTTTGGATTGCCATGCATGTAAAAGCCAGGCATGGGGGCTGGAGAGATGTTTCAGCAATTAAGAGCACTCGCTGCTGTTGTAAAGGACCAGGTTCAGTTCCCAGCACCCACATGGAGTCTTAACAACTGCCCATAACTCCAGTTTCAGGAGATTCGATGCCCTCTTCTGGCCTCTGCAGGCATTGCACATGTGTGGTGCACTTACATACATGCAGGCACTCATACATATTAAGTAAATAAATAAATAATAGATAAAAGCCAGACATGGCCCCACATGCCTAAAGCCCAGTGCTGCAGAGGGCAGAACTGGGAAGCTCACTGGGGCTTGTTGATCATCCATAGCTGAAAAAGGACAAGCTCCAGGTTTAGTGACAGAAGACTGTGTCAAAGGGATAAGGTGAAGATTGGTCATATTTTCCTTAGTACTTTTTTGTTCATTTAAATATTGGATCCTTTCAGAATTATTCTCCTTTTGGTTTCTGCTTGATTGGTTGCTTGATTTGGTTTTGTTTTGTTTTGTTTGTTGTTTTGGGATAGGATTTCACTATGTATTCCAAGATGGTCTTGAATTCACTGTGTAGCCCAGGCTAGCCTCAAACTTGTAGCGGTCCTCCAGCCTTGAGTGCTGAGGTTACAGGTATGCACCACCACACCTGCCTTAGAATGAATTCCCTTGGAAATAATAAATGATGTAGGTAGTTCATCCGCTGTAACCCAAAGAGCTGGTCATTTATCCCGAGTCCGTTTACTGAATGATCGTCTTTCTCGGTTGACTGAACGTGTTCCTCTCTACTGTGTTACACTCACACCTGGCTCTAACTGGTGACTGTTTGGTCTCACTGACTTATCTGTCTACTGTTGTACCAATACTGCACCTTTTACCTCTTCTGTTGTACATTTTAATACAGATAATGGTGGGAATAGAGAGACCCTATTCTTTTACCCATAAAACATTATTCTTTTATCCCACACTTTTCCTGGCTGCCTTAACGTTTATTCTTCTCATTGATCTCTACATTATTTTGTTAGTTCTACCAAAAAGTAACATTGAAGATATAACTCAAATTAACTGAAACTATGGATTAATTTGTGTAGAATGACTGTTTCATGTCAATCATTCTCTTTGGACAATTTTATTTATATAGGTTCTTAGTAGTTTTGGTTTATCCATGTTAACTTCACACTTTTTTTTTTTTTTTTTTTTTTTTTTTGTCTTTTGGAGACAGGGTCTCCCTGTAGTCCCCAGCTGACCTGAACTCACTATGTAGACCAGGCTGGCCTTGAACTCACAAGGATCCGCCTGCCTCTGCCTCCCAAGTGCTCGGATTAAAGGTGTTCATCCAGCCTTATTTTTTAATTTTTAAATATTTATTTTATGTATATGAGCATTTTGTCTGCATGTATGTAAGTGCAGCCATGTGTGCAAACAAGTCAGAAAAGGGTGTTGGATACCCTGGATGGTTGATATTTATCTATTTATTTATTTAATGTATATGAGTGTTTTGCCTGCATGTATGTAAGTGCACCCATGGGTGCAAATGACACCTATGTGTGCAAACAGAAGAGGGTGTCAGATACCCTGGAACTAGAGTTAGGGATGGTTGTTAGTGACCATGTGCGTGCTGGGAACTAGACCTGGGTCCTCTGGAATAGCAGTTAATACTCTTAGCTGGTGAGCATTTCTCCAGCCCCTTTTATTAAGTTAGCATACAAACTACTGGGTTTCATTCATGGCATCTTCACATGTGTGTCATTATACTTTGCTCTCATTCATTCCCATCTCCCACTGCCCTCCTCCATTCCCTGCCCTCCTCCCCCCATTCCACGCCCCCTCAGGTGGTTCTCTTCCTTCTACCAGTCTGTCCTGTTCTGCTTTCCTGTCTTATGTTCCATTCCCCTAGTTCCCACCTCCTTTAAGCTGTCTTCCTCTTCTCTAATTCTCCTTCTACCTACAAACACACATATATAAATATACTCATGCAAATACATACTATATCTATATATATATACTTATATGTATATAATTTTAAATCTAGGCTCCACATATGAGAGGAAACAAGGCATCTGTCCATCTGACTCTGCCTTATTTTGCTTAGCAGTGATTTCCAGTTGCATCTTTCTGATTTCCTGCAAATGTCATGATTTACGTTTTCTTTATGACTGCATAAAATTCCATTGTGTATATCTACCCATTCATCTGCTGATGGACATCTAGGTCGGTTCCATTTCTGGGCTATTGTGAATAAGTCAACTATGGAGATGCAAACACCTCCGTGGTGTGTTGACTTAGAGTCCCAGCCATGTATAGGACAGCTGGGTCACGTGGTAGTTCTATTTTCAGCTTTTTGAGAAACCTCCACACTGATTTCCATTAGTGCCTGCATGTTTCCATCCTCACCAGCAATGAATAAGGGTTCCTTTCCCCCCACATCCTTACCAGCATTTGTTGTAAGTTTTCTTGATGATGGTCATTCTAAGGTGAAATGGAATCTCAAGTAGTTTTAAATGTTGAACATGTTTTTCTTCAGATATTTATTGATTGGATGATTTTGTTTTTTGGTGTTTGATTTTTGCAGTCCCTTTTTAAAAAATATTTTATTATTTTTATTTTGTTTGTTTGTTTGTCTTTTGTCTTTTTGAGACAGGGTCTCCTTGTAGTCCCAACTGACCTGAACTCACTATGTAGACCAGGCTGGCCTTGAACTCACAAGGATCTACCTGCCTCTGCCTCCCGAGTGCTGGCACTAAAAGTGTGCGCCACCACGCCCGGCTTATTATTTTTATTTTATGTGTATATGTGTATTGCCTGGATATGGGTACATGCACCCGTGTCATGCAATGCCCACGGAGGAAGAGGCTGTCAGATCCCCTGGAACTGGAGTTACGGACAGTTAGCTGCCATGTGGGTGCTGGTATTCAAACCCGGGTCTTCTGCAAGAACAACCAGTGTTGTAGCTCCAGCTGTCCTGGAACTCACTAGGTAGACCAGGCTGGCCTTGATCTCACAGAGAACCGCCCACCTCTGCCTCCCAAATTCTTGGATTAAAGGCCTGTGCTACCACGCCCTGTTTTTTGTTTTTTTGAACCAGTGTCTTCATTTAGCCCAGGTTGGCATCAAACTCACTGTGTAACCAAACATGTCATGGAATTCCTGATTCTCCTGCCGCCATCTGCTAAGTGTGGAGATCATAGATGTGTCAGTCCACACAGCTGACCATATACTCTTGTTTGTTTGTTTGAGACAGTCTCCTGGGAGGCCCATCTGGAACTCACTGTGCCATGTAGACCAGGCTGGCCCCTCTCACAGAACCCACCTGCCTCTGCCTTTTCCCTTTCTCATCTGCCATTGATTTTTATCAGTTTTTCCTCAGAATGTGGCCTATGCCTAATTCCCCAGGTCAACACCCCCCCACCTCCCACCCCCTGTCCCCTAGGCAATCACCTCTGCTGATCACAGCTGCTCAGGGCACAGGAAGCAAGCAGACCAGCATTATCATGGTTCATTCTTTCTCCCTCTCTGCCCCCACTTCTAGAGGCCACTACTTGTGCTCAGTGTATGGGGCTCAGATGATGGTACCAGCTGGCCGGGGACTCATTGTGGTCATCTCCTCCCCTGGGGGGCTGCGGCATATATTCAATGTTCCCTATGGTGTGGGCAAAGCTGCGGTAAGGACCAGTGGTTGGGCAGTTATAGAATGGTGATGGTACTTAACAGAGCTTGGGAGGTGCAGTCCAGTGGTCAGAGGGTAAGGCTGACTGGCCTTCACCTCTCACTCTGCCCCATCCATTGACAGTTCCTTTGCTTGGGTCCCCCTCCATCTACCAGAGTAGATTCCAAATGGGGGAAGATGGGTAGCAGAGACCTCAGGGCTCTTAAGAAGGGAAGGGGGCTGGGACAGCCTCATTGGACTCAGGGAGGGTAGAAGAGGAAGGTGACATGACCAGGTGTCCTAGCTCTCATCCTGCCTTCTGACCCTCACAGTGTGACAGACTGGCTGCTGACTGTGCCCATGAGCTACGGCGCCATGGAGTCAGCTACGTATCTCTGTGGCCAGGGATGGTGCAGACAGAACTGCTGAAGGGGTTTATGTTGAAGGAGGAACGACCTGAAGATCCTGTGTTTAAGCAGGTTGGCAAGGGGAGGGCAGGGAAAGTAGAGAACAAAAGCATCCAGTCCCTCCGCTCCCAGTGACCAGACAGTAACAAGCGTAAGTATTCCTACTTACCAGGTGCTTACTAGATCAGGCACAGGGCTAACTTCTAAACACAGTATTTCCTTTAAGCTTGTAAAGCAGATGCTAGCTCCATTTTATACATAGTGAAACTGAAACCCAGAAAGGTTCAGAAACTTGATTCAGGGCTGAATGTGTAGCTCAGTGTGTAGAGCATGTACTTAGTATATGCTGACCCTGGCTCAACTCCCAGCAGTGAAGCAAGGAAGGAGAGAAGGAAGGAGGGAGGGAGGGAAGGAAGAAAGGATGGAGGGAGGGAGGGAGGGAGGTCAGTCCACATTACATGTCATAACTGGACAGGCTGTCTAGCTCCAAAGCCCAGGTGCCTGACCTTGCCCTGATCTAGCCTAGAATGTCCTGACATTAGTTGGGACTATCAGATCCTTCCACTTTGGAAAGACAACAGGTCCTCGGGCTAGGGTACAGGGTTCACCTGAACATGGGGAAGGATAGCTCTGGTTTCTTCTAAGACAAGGTCCTACATGTTCTGCATGAGGGCTGTGACCTTTCTCCTGGAACAAAAGACCCAAGTAGTGTTCTTGGAAATAGTTGTTCACAACTAATAGTTGTTCTCAACCCATTTTTCAGATCAAATCAAATTTCTCATCAGCAGAAAGCACAGAAATGAGTGGCAAGTGTGTGGTGGCCTTGGCAACAGGTGAAGACATTGGGGTAGCTGGTAACAGAAAGCCCATGGTGTATCTGCAGGATGTTGGCAGCCAGTTCCTAGTTTTGGTTGGGGAGCTGGTTGAGGAATATTGTCTTTTCTGTCTTTTGGAGATGCAAAGGGCCAGGATTCCTGGTTTGAGGTTTGTGAGCCTTATGATCGGCTGTTGGGAGGCAATACAGAGAACTACTTCTCTAGGCCCTGGAGCTTGCCTCAGTGGTGCCCTAGTGTCACACTGCACCACTCCCATACCCACTGTCTCTCACTGTGTGCCCACAGACCCCAATATCCTGAGCTTGAGCGGGAAGGTGCTGCCGTCCTGTGACCTTGCTCGACGCTATGGCCTTCAGGATGTAGATGGTAGGCACATGCTCTGGTCCAGCTGTGACTGATCTGGTTCCTTGCCTCTTCCCCTCAGACTCTTCAGACAGGGGTGGGGTGTCTGAGGAGTAGGAAATCAGGGTCTAATTGTCCTTCTACTGTTCCAGGCCGCCCTGTCAAAGACTATTTTTCTTTGGGCTCTGTTCTCTCACATGTCTCCAACCTGGGATGGTTGGCCGCCTACTTGCCCGGCTTCCTCCGTGTACCCAAGTGGATTATCACCCTCTATACCAGCAAATTCTAACTGCCTGGCCTAATCGCCCAGGTCTGCTGAGAGCATCCTCATTCAGGCTCAAGTGGCTGGGCTTGTCTTGGGAACAGAGAGAGCAGCCTTTCTCGCCCACCCATTCCCTCAGTATGAAGAGAAGGCCTCTGCTGGGCATCTGTAGTGAGTCCTGGGGGCCCTGTTATGTTTGCCTTGTGCCTTTTCCCTGTCCCTACATTTTAATTTTTTTGCTTCATTATTGAAAAACGTTAATAAACAGAAGCTAATAAAGGTCTCATTTCACCTCCGTGGTTTTGTGAATGCTGATTCTATAAACAAAGTGGTAAATATGTGAGAGAAAGAGTCAAAGATGTGAAAACCTATAGGTGCTATAGGTGTGCCAGCTGGGGAGATGGCTCAGTGGATAAAGCTCTAGTAAGGAAGCATGAAGACAGAATCGAGATCCCAAGAAGCTACATGAAACCGGATGTGGCAGCTTGCTTCTGTAACCCCAGCCTAGCTGTGAGGAGATAGAAAGCAGAGCCAGGAGGTCTGGGCCAGCCAGCCTGGCATGAATCATGACCCACCAGAGCCTGCATCAGACAAGTTACAGCACCCAAGATTGCCATCTTTCTGCCATGTGGGGCACGCACCTTTGCACGGGCGCACACACACACGTGAGCATTCACATAAGCATGCACACACTTTTTTTTTTTTTTTTTTTTTTTTTTTGAGACAAGGTCTCACTATGTAGCCCTGGATGGCCTGGAACTCACCATGAGGACTCACAGCGATCTGCCTCCTGAGTGCTAGGACTACAGGTGTGTGCCACCACATCCAGCACGTATTTTGTTTTAATCTATAGTCTTGAAAGGGATTTATATCTCTAGATAAGGCCCTTTCCTTCAGACTTGTTCCTACTCTTGCCCACAAGTCCTCTTTCCTCTGCCCCTGTGGGGAGCAGGGCCCTCCACAAGCAAGAGCGCCGGCCTGAACTGCATTTGCCCTCTCTCCGTGGATAACTGCTGCCTTCTAGCTGGGCTGATCTCTGCCCAACACAGCCATATTCCTTGGTTTCTGTGACTTCCTGCAGTTGGGAGACAAGGTACTGCCCGAGTCCAGGTAAGACACGGGCACAGCTGGTGGCGCTAGTGCGCTCTCATCTTGGGATAGTATCACCTGAAGGAGTTGCTTTCTGGGAACTGACCGCACACGCCCTTAAGCGCTGCCTTGCCTGCTCAGTGACGGGTTGCACCACCACCCAGAGCAAAGCAGTTCCAGGAAGCCAAGGGTAGTTCTCCAAGAGTGCCAGGTGTCCGTGGTGTATGCACACAAAATGGGCATCAGTCCCAAAAGCGGAAAGAGGAGGCTCCACCAGGATCCGGGCCAACGCTGCACTGGCAGCTGCGGCAAGACTGCGGCAGAAGGCTGGCATGGTCCAACCGTGCTGGAGGACGCTCACGGGAGCTGAGGTGTGGGCGGAGGTAGGAGAGACAAGCAAGCATGAGAGGCTGGCCGGGTCTCACCAGGGAAGCCATGACAGCACACATGTGGGCTGAGGGGAGATGGTAGGAGGCACTGTTTACAGAGGGCACCTGAGCCAGTAAAAGACTGCCACTGTGTTATCCCTGGCATGGAAGACAAGAGGCTAGTGCCAGACACAGAAAGAGTTTTTTTGTTGCTTGCTTGCTTTTGGAGACAGTCTCCTTGTAGACCCAGCTGGCCTGGAATTTGCTATGTAGACCAGGCTGGCCTTCATCTCACAGATCCACCTGTCTCTGCCTCCCAAGTGCTGGGATTAAAGGCGTGCACCATCACACCCTACTAAGTGTGTTTAGAAGCCACCTTGCTCCAGGTTAACCCTGGTATAACACTAAAAGGCTGGTTGAGATGCAGCCTACCCCTACTGGAGCAAGATGTTTACTATATTCCTAGGCTATGGAGCCCAGAGAGGGATGGGAAAGACTTTTGGTTTGCATTTTTGTTTTTCAGAGGTAGTATTCTTGACCAAAAATTCAAAAGGTTTAGAACAGTATACAGTGAAAACTCTTGAATTCCTGATGCCTTAAGTGCCCTGTCCCCAACTCAGAGACAGCCACTGTTATATTCACAAGGAGAACCCATGCCTGTACATCTAAGCAAACTCAAAGAAGAGAATTGACTGTGTACAAACTGACCTCTCTTCTTGGCTGAGTGGCTGTATTTTCCAGGCTTGGAGGCCTGTTCTGGCTTTGTATCCCAGCCCTCTAAGCTAGCTAGTAGTCCTGGACCCAGACCCACTACCACCACCACGCCACACACATACACTCCTTCCAGGTCTTTAGGCAGCTACTGCAGAAACTTCCAGAAAACAAGTGTGTGATGACTAAAGGAAGAAAGAAAGGGTAATGGAGGCTCTGTGAATGCCTGGTGGAACCCAGCCTAGCCCAGCCCTGGTTTCCTCCACACCAGCCAGCTCACATCATAGATTTGAGATGTGTGTTATAACTACAGTAAGGTTGCTTTTTCTAAAGCAGATACTCATAAATTAGAGGTACAAAAATGAGGAAGATGGGGCTGGAGAGATGGCTAAGTAGTTAACAGCACTGGCTGCTCTTGCAGAAGACCTAGGTTTGGTTCCCGGTTCCACACTAGGCTACTAACAACCATATGTAACTAATTCCACAGGATCAGATACCCTCTTCTGGCCTCCACAAGAATTGTATGCACGTGATGCATTTACATGCATGCAGGCAAAACACATAAAATAAGAAATCACTGGGCGTGGTGGTACATGTATTTAATCCCAGCACTCAGGAGGCAGAGGCAGGCAGATCTCTGACTTCGAGGCCAGCCTGGTCTACATAGTGAGTTCCAGGCCAGCTGGGGCTACAGGAAGACTGTCTCAAAAAGATCAAAAAAATAAAAGAATAAATAAAGCTGGGCGTGTTGGCCCATGCCTTTAATCCCCAGCACTCAGGAGGCAGAGGCAGGCGGATCTCTGTGAGTTCAAGGCCAGCCTGGTCTACATAGTGAGTTCCAGGACAGCTGGGGCTACAGGGAGACCCTGTCTCAAAAAGACCAAAAAAAAAAAAAGAATAAATTAAGGGACTGGAGAGATGGTCCAGCAGTTAAGAGCACTGGCTGCTCTTGCAGAGTACTGGGATTTGATTCCCAGCACCCATATGGCAGCTAACAACTGTCTGTAACTCCAGTTTCAGGGGATCCAACACCCTCTCCTGACTTCTTTGGGCACTGCACAACACAGGTGCACTTACACACATGTAGGCAATACACTTATACACATAAAATAATAAATAAAGTGACCTTGGAGGTATAAGACAAATTCTTTCCCCCCAAAAAAATAATAAAAAAAATTTTTGGTCTTTTTGAGACAGGGTCTCCCTGTAGCTCCAGCTGTCCTGGAACTCCCTATGTAGACCAGGCTGGCCTTGAACTCACAGAGATCCGCCTGCCTCTGCCTCCCAAGTGCTGGGATTAAAGGCATGTGCCACCATGCCCAGCTCAGTCTACTTTCTTATGTAATACAGAACCACCTGCCCAGGGGTGACACTGCCCACAGCGGACTGGGCCCTCCTACATCACTCAACAATTAAGAAAATGTCCCAGGGCTGGAGAGATGGCTCAGTGGTTAAGAACTCTGGCTGTTCTTGAGATGGCTCAGTGGTTAAGAACACTGGCTGTTCCTGCAGAAGACCCAGGTTTGAATCCCAGCACCCACATGGCAGCTAACAACTGTCTGTAACTACAGTTCCAGGGGATCTGACAGTCTCTTCTGTCCTCCGCGGGCATTGCACGACACAGGTACACTTACCTACATGCAAACGATACACACATACAAATAAAATTTTTTTTTAATTTTAAAAAAATGTCCCACAGACATGACCACAGGCCTGCCGATGGAGACAAGTCCTCAGCTGAGGTTGCCTCTAACCAAGTATGTCAAGTTGACAGGTGAAGTTATCCAGCACAAACACTGTGGGGCCTCTGCACCAGAGCACTCACCAACTGCCCTGAACGGCACTCAACACTGGGCTGAGGGATCTGAGAGTCTAGGTTCTTTTTATACGTGGGTGCACATGTATGCATGTGCATGTGGATGCCAGTGGATGTCCTCAGGTGTCACAACTCAGAAGTCATCCACCTTGTTCCTTGAGACAGAGCCACACCTGGCTTTTTATCGGGTACTAGAAATCCAACTTGGGTCCCCATGCTTGCACAGCAAGCACTTTGTAAACTAAGTCATCTCTTGAGCCCAAGAATACAGTTTGGGGGACATGTCATTGTCCCTGAGTTTCAATCAACTGCTGAAGTCCCCTTTGGGTTCATGAGTAAAGGGGAGATCCCCAGTAAGCAGGGGAGGAGATGAGCTTATATGAGTGGCAGTGGGGTGAGGGTTCAGGCACAGGAGATGAAGAATATTCCTGAGAGCCCCACAGGAACCTGAGCCCAATGGGTGGCCGAGTCCAAAGCTGTCCCTTTTCCTTTCTTATCCTGGCTTCTAACCACCCTGAACTCTCAAAACCCTTGACACTGCCTTTGAGGCACCACATGGGGCATCGATCACACAGAGATTTGCCTGCCTCTACCTCCTGGGTGCTAGGATTAAAGGCATGCACCACCGCACTTAGCTTGGTTTGATTTTCTTTAAGATAGGCTATCATGGGACTGGAGAGATAGCTCAGTGGTTAAGAGCACTGACTATTCTTCCAGAAGACCTGGGTTCGAATCCCAGTACCCACATGGTGGCTAACAACCGCCCATAACTCCAGTCCCAAGGGATCTGACAGCCTCTTCTGACCTCTGGGGGCATTGCATGACACGGGTGCATTTACCTACATGCAGGCAATACACACATACACATAAAATAAAAATAATAAATAAAATTTTTTTAAAAGATTAGAGATATGATTAGGCCAATTATGTTTGTTTGCTAGTAGATATCTGAAATCACAGTCCCCCTCCTCAAAGAGACTTGAAGACAGAGAGACCTGTTCCTTTTTCACAACTACATTTCAAAGGGAGGGTTCTCAGGTCCTTAGAAGAAATGCTTCTGCTTAGAAGAATTATTGCATTTATTGCAATTATTGCAACTGTTAGCTCTTTTTAGTAAATGGTTCAAGGAGAGGTCAAGCAAGGCCTGTCATCAGGCGCTGGCTGGAACGCAAACGGAATTTCTAAGCAGCACTGTTTTCTTTGTTTTTGTTTTGCTTTGTTTTTGTCTTTTTGAAGCAGGGTCTCCCTGTAGCCCCAGGCTGTCCTGGAACTCACTATGTAGACCAGGCTGGCCTTGAACTCACAGAGATAC